TTAAAGGTTTTTATCTTTGCCTGCCTGATGGAGGACATTAGGCTAAAAAGGAGGACGTGTCCTCCTTTTGCTTGACATCTGGCAACTCAAAGTACACCAGATTTGGAAAGGCCTGTATAGGGGCTGTGGCTGGGAAAGAAGGAAGTGGTGTTAATGTGATAAGAATGAGAAGTCAAGGTAAAATAGGGAGAGAGGAGAAAGAGGGCAAGGATAAAGAAGCTCAGTTAAGGAACGTCATTGTCAGATCATGTCTATGTTCTAAACAGGCTCATATCTATACCATTTAAGGCTGTTTCTGAAGCTCCTCCAAGGGCCTTTCTTTTTCTACACATTTTCCCATGACATCTCCTAAGGATGCACATTCAGATTTCAAACATAAATCAATTTGACTTTAAACATGCTTTTGCATGCAGCCAATGGGGCTAGAGTGGCGTTAGCATAGATTTCCCTGCTCCCTACCCACCCACCCAGCTTCGGTACATATCTAACCCTGTTGGGATCATACCTGAAACCTACACTAACGTTACCTATAGGATACTCAGGGTGGTTGCCTGATACATCACTGGGCTGCTTTTGTTCCAAGGACTGAGAATTTTAATTCTTCATGATTACATTTGCCTCTAAACAGTTTACCTGTTTCAGAACCAGGATAATTATTGCTAGTCATAAAGCCATAGGGTAAGCTTGGAAAAGCTAGTTTTTTGGGTTAAATTTCCTGGAATTCCTCTTAGTCAGGATAGCCCAAGTACAAAAACATTTTTTTCAAAATGTTATTTTTGTATGTTAACATTCCAGGAGGACGTGTATGATGAAACAAACCCAAATGTTAATATTTCCAATGAAAGACGTGCACTGAGGGTGATGTATAACATCGAAAGAAAAGTATACAATGAAGAAGAATTCCAAAAAGATCATGACAAAAAGATTTATTCTCAACCCAATAAGGATTTTGAGAGCCCTCCAACTGGACGAAAAATCCAATGCAGGTAAAGTATCAAAAAGGTTTTTTTCTTTTGAAGGTAACTAATGATGCTATTTTTCAACTCTTCCACACATATCCTGCTTGAGTCTATGCCTCTTGTCCTGCTGTCATATAGAGAATTTGTTGCCATTTGATTTTACCTTGTTAAATGTTTTAATTTGTTACTGTTTATTTATTGTTTATTACCATAAGTTTTATTTATTGTTGTAAACTGCCCAGAACAGTGTGTTACACTAGTGGGGCAATATTTAAATCAAATAAGTAAATAAGTAAATCACCCAAGGTTGGGTACCATTGCTGTAGAGGGACTATGCCTACAGTATTTGCATCAATAGTTTCATATACTTGAAAGGCATTTGTGATATGATACACTTCATCATACATTAACTGTATTATTCGCTTCCAATTCATAAAAATAAATAATTTAAAATCTGAGATACAAGGAAGAATCATCCAGCTTGTAATACAATTTGTTTCAGATTTTCTTGTACACGATTCAGGAAGCTACTTATCAAGATGTTTCCCATTCTAAATTGGGTTTGTTCCTACCGTGTCAAAGAATGGATTCTAGGAGATATACATGCTGGCATAAATGTTGGGATGGTGCAGATTTTTCAAGGTAAAAAATTCACTTCTTTTTATTTTATTTATTTTCCAATTTTCTCAGGCTAGTTATCAAAATCAAGAGTTCTAGCTTCTCACGATGCAGTGTTCAAATGTTGTTAGGAGCTTGTTGTGTACTAGAGTTCTTTACTCTTCTTTATACCTGGTTTAGAGTTTTTCTCACTCTTCATGAAAAGGCCTCTTCGAGGGAGACTCTGGCATGCTGGTATGTTGAGCACCGCCTTTTGATAGTATGTACAAGAAAAGCAGATTTGTTACTCATCTTTCCTTTGTTGGTGAAAAAATTATTAGTTTAAGTGTTCCAAATACTGTAATGTTAAAATGAAATACCGTAGGAGCTGGATAAACATTGCCTTAGATTAGATTATTTGTGATTCTCAATATTAGATTCTATTGAATATTGCCTGGAAGAATTTTGGCTCTTTTAAATTAATATGTCAAAATATTTCCCCTTGCAGTGTAAAGATTGTGTCAAGATATAATTTGCGATGTGTTAAAGCCTATTGTAGCAATAAGAGGTAATTCTAATATATTTGTAACAACAAAAAGTTGACCTGCAGATAGTTTCACTTGCACCATTTTTGCAGGATCAAATAAAATAATTAGGGGATTGCATTCTTGTTGCTGTTAGCACTTTTTGACCTCCAGATATGGGATTTCCTCAGAGCTGAATGCCTGAACATTTAGATTTGTAAAGTAAGTCCATGTATACCTTCTAAAGGCCAATCACAAAACAAAGCACCTTGGAATTTAAAATAATGAAATGAGGAAAAACATGCACAATTTCTAAATCCAAGCTAAACATCATCTTGTTCAACCCTTCTGTGCCACAGTCACTATAGTGATTAACTGCATCTATTCGTAGCTCCAGCAGAACTCAGGTCACCTTTCTATATACAGTAGTTAACAAAGAATGGTAAGGGAATTGATAGACAACAATGTAACATTAGTAGTCATGGACCCTGGATTTTTTCTCCTGTATGTTTTCATCATTTCAGTCCCCAAATCATTCCAATCCAAAGACTGAGACATTTTGCTGCCTGAGGCTGAGCATCAAGAGATTGACCTCTACTCTCTAAAGTCAAGTTGCGCAATACCAGTGATAATATTTGGCCACACAAGGCAAGATATTCCAATAAACACTCTGGCAGTAAAAAAAAAAAGCAGTGCATAATAAAGAAGTACAATAAATGATAAATAATTTATTTAGTTAAATTCTGAAGGAAGTCACAAAACAAAATTGTTGCTTTCTGCGGAGATTAAAAAGGGAAAGAAAGAGACTACTTATATGTACTGGCATAAATCATACTGGTGCTAGATGCTCCCCTTCTTTCAACCAGGTTTAAAGCCACACTGCTTCCTCTTGATCTCCTTTGCAAATTAGGCTTGAATCATTGATTGTTCAACACAGAAGAGCTAAGAGCCGTAAAACACTTTCTGCACTGAATAATGCTATAGATTTTTTTTAAAAAAAAACTTCATATATTTTAGTATCTATTCAGAAATAGATGAAGTGCCCTCTCCAAGTGGGAGAATCTATAAACAAAATTCATTAACAATAATACAAATTATTTTTTTTTCAAAACTGGAAACAATGTGAAAATAATCATAGCCTTCATGCCTAAAAAGCTGTATAAAATACATCAAACATCAAAACACAATGGTAGCAGCAATTTGAATTAGACCAAAATGAGCCACATTAAAACCAATTCTATAGGAAAGGCAGATTGACACATAAGTGTATTTAAGAGACTGTGGAAACAAAAACAAAGTGGAGACCAATTTTATGATTATTGGTTATAATAATGAGAAAGGGTGGCTTTAGGCTTAACCCCACAAACATAGCCTCCCAATTTAGCACCATCTAATCTATTTTATTTTATGTTTCTAAAAACAAATATTTTCCCAGGACTATCAGGAATATTGTTAACTGGATTACCGCTGCCAGTTGTCAATAGTTTTTATTCTGCATTTTGCTGCTCTTTAACATATGTCATATTTGGAACATCACGCCACATGTCCATTGGTAAGTAATGCTTCACTCTCTTAATTCAATCTATGGCGCACACAAAGTTATTTTTTTCAACAGAAGGGAAAGGCAGACCCATTTAACTACTGCTTTTATCAATGAAGCACATTAACATGTCAATCTTAATTTAATATTTATCTGTTTATAATTAATAATTGCCTCATAAATCACATGTGCTATTTGTTCTGAGGTATTATTTTTACTGTTATAATCCTGAATAAGAAAATGTGATTTGTTTGTCAGGAGGACTGCATAGGCATTCAGAAAAATGTAATGATGTGTCATATTTTATTTATGTCTTCATCTGATTTACTATTACTTTTTGATGTAGTAATGATTTTTGTTGTTGCATTCACTCTATGATTTTCCTCTCAGAGACATCACTGTTTACATCTGTCTACATTTATAAAACTGTTATTCGGGGGGGGGGGGTTTAAAGAAAAAGAAGAGTCTCTTTTTGGTTATTCCTCTGCAGGAGAAGACCAAATTGCAAAGGAAACCCTCACAGAAGCCCAGGCACAGCATTTCCCTTTCTTTCCCTGCTATCATGATTTGATAGCAAATATGGAAACAGACTGATGAAATGAGGGGCACAACAGGCCATCTGCCTCCTTGAGCAGTGTGAGAAGAATCCCATGATCTTTGCTGGAAGTGTCTTTTTTACAGGCTCTGGGCCTTATTTGTGTTTGCTTCAGTACTAAACAGATTTGGGCTCCTTTCATAAGCCATTAGTGTCTGTCATTTGGTGGGAAAGCGCGAGAATACTTCTGAAACTTTATTAGCATAGGCATCCTTCAGAGCCTATGGTAACATGCTCTGAATCGAGGAGGGTCCTCTCCAGAGCATGAAGCCTGGGTAAAGTAATATGAAGGATAGGCTGTTACCCAAGTAGCAGATCCCCCCCCTCCACATTGCTGAAATGGTCCAATGGAAAGGCAAGAGCCAATACAACTGGTTCCAGCGATGTCGCAGGAGTTGCCAGAATGACATGAACTGCCTCCGGGACTCCGGCTCTGGATTTTGCCTTGAGGTTAACTCCTGAAGCCTTTTCCAAGAGTGGATATAGCCACAAGGAAGTGGGGGTTTGAAATCGGAGTTTTCCTTCTCCTAGATGGGCTGTCTTCCATGGCTGACGAGCCCCACCGACCATATGAGATTTCAATGCTGTTTCTGGTTCTTCTGAGCATAGACTAAGAACAGGGCTGGTCCAAAATATTTGTTGCCTCAGACAAAGGACAAGATGTTACGCACACACACAATTTCAGAGACAGCAGTGGACTAAACTGGCAGCTGAATCTTACTTCACCAAGAAGTGTGACAAGGGTGAAGCAAGTGAGGAAGTTGCCTCAGGTGCACAAAGTTAAGGGTTGCAGGAAAAAAAAATGTTTGTCCAAGTGCATCATGCCATTAGGAAAGGGATCAGTAAGCTCCCCATGCTGAGAGGGGAGTAGCTAGCCCCTCCCTTCTCTATTGCAAAGTGACAGGTCTACAGAAGAGAGGTTCCTGCTCACATGAGGAGCTTAGGAAATGACTGAGTAGGACTTCTGAATTCAAATGAATCAAGTAGTATTTATTACATACTTGGTGCAGTGTGGTAGATGTTTGTGGGTCCATGCTGACTGCTCTCCCACTCTCTGAGTTCTTTCAGTGTGTTGAGGAGATGCAACTTTATATTCTTGCCTTGAGATAAGCATACAGAGGAGTCTAGAGAAAAGTAAGTGGTTAGTTGCTTCCACCTGAAGTCCGGGAGGGGCTTTGTCTTAAAATTAACTGCCTAGCACACAAGATAGAGTTATACTGGACTTTTATAAGGAACCTCTTTCTACCTTCTGTTTGAATCTACACATGGAGAAATAGTGCCAGCTCTAGGTTTGGGGATTTCTCTACAAGATGGACACTTCCTCCTTACTGCTGTCACTACTGCCTATGTGCTTGCCCTTTCCTTTGGGTCCAATTGACAGAGCAACCTAAACAAAGAAAGCAAAATGAGCAGAGGTTATCGCTCCTTCTCTTTTATTCTATCATTTTCCAGTTGCTTAAAGAGACAAATGAATAAGCAGCAAACCACCAAAGGGAATGAAAGGGGGCTTGAGGCTTGGTGTTGATCTACTTGCTGGATGAAGCCCCCTGAAACCATATCTGTAAAGGAAACAGAGTTCTGAATGCTGGCTAAGCAGTTGAGAAGACAAGAGCCTTCTGCCATCTGCACAAATTTCACTGTATTTATAATTTTACTGTGTATTATAATGATGCACACAATGTCCACAGATTATGCTAACATAGCACTACACCACTCTGCCCTCTTCCCCTAGAAAAATTGCAGCAGGCCACCATGCTGCTCTGTCAACAATCAAAGCCATAACTAGCAATTATGGTACCTAGATCTTTGGTAACCTACTGGTTAGGTTTGGCTTATGGGAGATTGGTATACATAAGGAAAGGATGGAGGAATGGGGAGAAATGTGCACAATGGTGATGCTGGTTGTATACTGAACCTCTCTGTTTTCTGTATTTTTTTGGCTGGAGAAGAGCAGTTGTAAGTAGTATATGCAGGTGAGGTCATAGTCTTCCAGCAGCAAATTCCAATGGGTATGTTGATACTGTACTCTTTGAGCAGCAATTTTTGTGCCCTCTAAAATGGGTACCTTAAGTCAAATCCTCAGTTGTCCTGCTCTAGTTAGGAATCCATTGAGAGGCCATGGTATCCACACACAGCAAGTGCACATTGATTGTTTATAGCCTCTGTGACACATTTTGGAATGTATTTCATACCTTGAAAACCTTGGCAGAAAGGTGGGATAGAAAATAAATGTAAGTAAAGTTGTAGTTTATGTAGATACTTCACAGGAAGAAAAAATTGACATGATAATAATGCTAGGAAAAGCTGAAAGCAGTAGGAAAATTGGAAGGATTGAATAAATAAAGGAAGCCATGGCCATCAGTTTCATAGACGTGATTGGGACTATTGAGTATGTCATTAATTAATAAGAGGTCATTAGTTCATGTTAGTACATAAGTATGACAATCATATAGCTGGAATTGGTATTGGCTTTGGCTTTAGTCTTTGTTTTCTTCTTTTTTCGGTAACAGGATCTTTCAGCATTTTGAATGCAATGGTGGCAAACTTTCACAGCAACCTTAATTTCAATGTCAGATTGTCCAGTAATGCCAGTCTGGCCAATTTTTCTGATGAAACTTTTATGAAAAATTATATGGAGGCATTAACTCACACTGCTTCTACAACATTTTTGGTTGGCATGATTCAGGTAGGAAGCCCATTTGGGCATTACATCTTATGATTTCACATTTAAAGAATACAGAATTGAACCAGAGATGTCGGCTAGATCATTTCCTGTGGAAAATTACTGTATCTAAAATAGCCTCTCCAACTCCTGGAGAAATTTTTCCATTTCTTAAAATTATTTTGTAGCATGAATGAGTGACATTATATACCGGGAAACTAGGTATTTTCAAAGTGTAACTTCTCTGAGATGACTATAATCTCTTTCCTCTTGCTTCATTTATGTTAGTAGTTCTCAATCTTTGACCCTCCAGATATTTTTGGACATCCCCTCCAAAATCCCTGACCGTTGACCATGATGGCTTCTGTAAGTTTAAGTCCAAAACACCTGGAGGGTCAAAAGCTGAGAACCACTGATCTACACATTTCATCAGATGAAAACAAGAGGTACACGAATAGGTTGGATCAGTGCCCTGTTGTGACTGATACTCTTGATCAATGACCTACAAGTGTTGAAAACACTTGTGGGAGCACCTCATTCTCATCTTCCACTAAAGATGGGAAAGCTAAGGACAAACCAATAAATATGAACTCTTCCTTGCAATGACATATGGATGAAACATGACAATGAGGTATATTTTTAGGCTAGATACTGTATATGTTTTATGTGAAGCTTTGAAAGTGCTATATGTAGTATAATATCATTTTTCAGTGACTTGGGTCCCCCATAATTGACATTTTAGCAATGTAAAGGGAGTGAATGTTATTGAACTATCATGTTTTATAATATTTAGAGATAGTCTAATAAAAATAATTCCCGAGGAAAGCTTATATTTGCAGATAAAATTTAGACCACATTCACTGTCATTTACTGATATTTATTCTCCTAATCAAATATTTCCGTTCAAACATCATTGGCTGCTGGAAATATCTTTTAAGATATTTATACAGCATGTAAAATTAATGTGTGGCATTTGTGGAGTGAGACGAAAAGCTTTAGTAAGGGCCTGTTCAGAAAGGGGAATTTGGAATTGTCTAGTTTGCACTTAAAAGGTTTTTATCTTCAGTGCCATCTATTTTATTTCTCACTTGCGTGATCTTTTAGTTCACAGTGGAGATGTTTATTCTCCTATGAGAAGGGTCCACACATGTTTTTGGATCACTGGTTTACTCATGAGTAAAGTTTACCCAGTTTACTTGTGAGCAAGGTTTACCTGGTTTACTCACAAGTAAAGAGGCAGCAGCCACAACAGCCAAGGACAGCAGCGGTATTGAAGAGAAAATGTTGAAGTGTAGATTGGGGAGATGGAAGGCAGGTAACCGCGCTTTCCATGCCTTTTTGTCTCAGCCAGGGCTCTGCTGGGGCTGTTCTGCCTTGTAAGGGTCATAGCCCTTGTAGTCGACATAGTCCCCTTCCCCACCTTTTCTTGTGGCCTTTATTCAGTAGACCACAGTGACTTTCCTATTCCCCCCCCCCCCGCTAAATAATGTAAGTGGCATGTCAAAATAGTAATCTGCCAACTTTGCATAGTATTGGAATTGTCCAGCTCATCAGTTAGGGAAATATTTTTTAAAAGAAGATTTCCTCCCTTTTAATGTCAGAACTCCCCTTGTATGTCACAGGATTGTCACATCAGATAATGCCGCCCACATTTGGGTGCAAAATTACACAGACTACACAATGGGATAGTTAGGAGAATGCTAAATCAAAGCAAAAAAAAAAAAAAAACCTGGAAGCCCCAGCACGATGCCAGAAAAGATCAGGACAGCTCTCAAAGGGGCAGGATGGATGAATCTAAGTGTGGATGCAGTAATTTGGTTTGAACCAAACCATACCAAAAGCAATCCAAACACCAGTCTATATACCTGTCTGGACAGCTCCCAAGACTCTTGTGAATTTAAACAATGCAAATATGCCTGAAAAAGGTTCCAGAAAATTTCCCAGTTAATTTTTTTTCTTAAAGTTAAGGTCATCAATTTGAAGTAATCAATCAGATCTTTGGCTGCAAATCTAGTGAACAATAATTTTGGGATGTGGTGGAAGAGGGACTCTCTAGTACTCAGATCCTATGGATCTGTGCCCCTAATGTACATGCTATTTGGTAATTATTCAGTTAATTTGTTGGTTGCTGGAAAACATTAAGTACTACAGTATATATACATACACACAGGTTTCTTTAATGGGAAAGAAACAGCTGGTGTGGGTTTTCTTAGATAACTTTGACTAATTTGTTAACAAAAAAAAGAAAAAAGGCAAAACATTGTTGCACTTGAAAGGCTAACAGATTTTTAAATTTTTATTTTATTTATTTATTTATTTATTTGGTAGCATGAACTTTCATTTTGAAAATACTTCAATATTTTGTCCCCCCGCCCCCACTTTTCTTTTGCAAGCATACTGAGACAGCTTACTGGCTGATTTGTCAGATTTTTAAATTTTTATTTTATTTAGTTATTTATTTATTTGGTAGCATGAACTTTCATTTTGAAAATACTTCAATATTTTGTCCCCCCGCCCCCACTTTTCTTTTGCAAGCATACTGAGACAGCTTACTGGCTGATTTGATAGCATGAATTTTCATTTTGAAAATTCTTCAATATTTTGTCCCACTTTTCTTTTGCAAACATACTGAGACAGCTTACTGGCTGATTTGACTGAACAATTTGGAGACTCACAAAGGAGGACTCTGCCTTTCCTTGCAGAATGTATAGCATGGATTCCAGAAAGGAAGCCTATCTTTTTCAAACTACGGTATAGCCAAGGAATATGGCAGCCCTCTCTAAGTAGGGGTGATCTTATAGGAAGCTGTTGTTTATGACTTGGCCTTAAAGCTTCTGTTTTCTTATTTTGACTCCCTCATGTTTTCCTTTTAGATCCTTTTAGGCGTTTTTGGCTTAGGATTCGTCACAATGTATATATCGGAAAGTCTCATGAATGCTTACCTTACGGCAGCAGCACTGCATGTGATGATATCCCAGTTTTCCTTCATCTTTGGAATAGTAATTGACTTTCATTCAGGCCCATTGGCATTTTTTTATGTAAGTAAATTTTGCCCTTATTCAAAGCTACTGCTATTGCTTGGGAGGGGAAGCAAAGGTCAGCATAAAAATTTGTGTAGCAAAGTTTGTAACATGGAGGTTAAAAGCATCTTAAATTATCTTATTGTAAATGAGTGTAGTCCTGTACATCAAATGCATTGTCTTGCTTATCTGCTGTATTGTTCCTCATGGAAGGATTCTGCCAAATTAATTAGATCCACTGTAACTTCTGAGTGGTAGGATGCTGAGGATTGGGAAAGTACCATTAATGTTCCAAAATGTGTTCAGTTATACATTTTACACATCTCCAACAAGAATAACTCCAAGTATCACCCTGTTATTGGGGAGTGCTTCCACTTGGAGTGTGGGATATGGATGCAGAATGGGAATCCTGACTTTTTGCCTCCCCATAACAGCTTACAGATACATACTCATTAGACTGTGCACAGTGTATTGTACCTATGTGTGTAAAAACTGAACAGACATGTAGACACACATACATGATTGCTGAATATTTTTTAACTGAACTGCATGCACTAAGGATGCATACAGTGTCTGTTCATGCATACCATATTTGGTATGTGCAGCTATGGGTGGAACCATAAATAGAGTTTCATATGCATTCCCTCTGTTTAGAAAGTTATATAGAGTTTTTGTCAGAATTCATCATGTTTAATGCAAGCTAAACTGAGTCAAGGTGGAGTACACTATTGTTTACATCAAATGATTGATGATACAATCCTATCTTCCACTTACATTGTCTAGGAACCCAATCTCTTTGCATTTTCAGAGCAGCATATTGAAGTTACGGTATGTCATCAAATGGAGGTCACTGCATAAAAATAAGTCTCAATCAGCAGAAACCTGGTGGAACAGCAGCAGGTTATGATAGGGAAAGGTTTGATTTGGGATGTGGTAGAGACCAGTGTGGCTCGAATCCTATGTTCCCAAAGAGGTTACTCAGAAATTACTTCTAGTATAAAGTTACACAACACATATCAGAAGTGGACGCATAAATAGTAAAAATGGTGAGAATCTCAATGTTTCTTTTTCCTTTGTCTTTCTCCCAGACACATTGTAGGACAGGATTTTGACAAACAGTCTCACTCATACCCATGGATTGATTTGGAATTATATGTAGCAACTTGATCCCTTTTCTTAAAAGTTGAGAAATTGTTCAATATATTCCAGATATAGTTCCAAATCTACAAAGTCTGTCAAACTCCCATTGATACAACTGGAATGTGACAAGATTTCAGATCGTACACCTGAGTCATCTGTTGCAGTCTTCCAACCAGTTCCTTCCATTAACCTTCAGACCAATATTTTTCAATAAATGAGACTTTTTTCCTCAATTGATTATTGAAGCAAACATTCTAGTGCTTGGGGTACAAGAACATGGTGCTATAATGAGTTATTCCTTTAAAAAATAAACTCTTTCTGAAAAATTTTGTTGACATTTTCTTTTTCAGAACTTGGTATATTACTGCATGGGTCTCCCAAAAGCCAATTCTACCAGTATATTGCTGTTCCTGCTTTCTTTACTAATGCTGAGGGTCAGTAGATGTATTAAGATAACTTACAAACACTATCCTGTTGAGTTTCCTATGGAACTTATTTTGGTAGGTATTTTTTTTTTACTCTGAATGTAACTTTTTCTATGAGATACTAGTCCCCCTCTGTTCAGCACTGGTTGAGCCTTGTCTAGAGCAGTGGTTCTTAACCTTTGTTACTCGGATGCTTTTGAACTGCAGCTCCCAGAAACCCCAGTCAGCACAGTTGGTGGTGAAGGCTTCTGGGAGTTGCAGTCCAAAACTCCTGAGTAACCCAAGGTTAAGAACCAGTGGTCTAGAGTACTGTGTCCAATTCTGGACACTGTACTTTAAGAAGGATGTCAACAAATTGGAACAAGTTCAGAGGATGGTGACAAGAATGATCAGGAGACTGGAAACCAAGCCCTTTGAGGAAAGACTGAAAGAAATAGGCATATTTAGCCTTGAGAAAAGAAGGCTGAGGGGAGATATGATAGCACTTTTCAATACTTGAAAGGTACTCATACAGAGGAGAGGCAGGATCTGTTCTCATCATCCCAGAGTGCAGTACATGTAATAATGGTCACAAGCTACAGGAAGCCAGATTCACAATGAATATCAGGGAAAATCTCTTAACTGTGAGAATAGGATGACAATGGAACCAATTACCTTGGGAGGTGGTTAGCGTTCTAACTGGAGACATTCAAGAGAAAATTGGACCACCATCTGTCAGATCTGCTTTGATTTGAATTCCTGCATTGATCAGGGGGTTAGACTCAATGGCCTTATAGGCCCCTTCTAACTTAGTTATTCTATGATTCAATTATTTATTCAGTTCTCCTCTCTGTGGTCATCGTACATACTAAGAGTCATCATACATCATACAGAGTAGACTCTGTTCTCTGAGTGCCATTCCTTCCATGGCCATTCATGCACAAAAGGCAGACGTAGGCTTTTGAGAACAGAGAAATTTACTTAAAATTAAATAAACAAATAGAAAGAAAATGCTGGGAAGATGGGAAGAAAATGACAAAATAACCTACTGGGGAATGAGCGTGCTCAATGGGCATTGGAATACTGACTGATTGTATGATAGGAATACAAATAAAACTAATACAAATAAAAAGGAATACAAATACAAATAAAACAATAATAATAATAGGAAGAGGAATGGAATGGAAAATTGGGTGTGTCTGGGAATTGACTGGCAAGAGCATTCTATACTACAGTATTGTTGTAGGTCTCATTTGGATATGTTAACTGTGATCTCAAGTCTCTTAGTACTAGTCGTTATCCAGCCCAAATTGTACCACCCACATGCAAGAGGAAAATGCCAGCAAAATTTGAGGAATCACAAGTCTGCAATATAAAAAGTAATTGGGGAAGTTAAGGAGGGGTCACAAAATCAGCTTAACATGGATCAAGTAGGACTGAGCATGGTCTGTAGATCTGGAATGCTGACAATTTTCTCAAAAAGAATGTGGACATTTAAAAATAATGATTTTAGTAACATACTTTTCAGGCACTTCTGACAAATAGGGCATGCTGTGATATAGAAGTGGATCACATTTTAAAGCATTTGCAGTTTGCTGTTCATTTATAAAAGTTGAAATAGTATTTTCTTTAGTTAATTAATTTTAAATGTATTTTACCTTTATTTATGGCCTATTCCCAATCAAAGATATGTGTGTGTACATATACCTTGAATATTTTAATAAACATGGCACTCTGAGAATTGCTTTTCTTTTGACCTTCCTTGAAAACAATCTGGCTTCACCACTGCACTATCCAAGGTGCTGAATTGTCTAGGACTAACTACGTTAGTTGAACTACAGTGGTGCCCCGCATAGCGAGGTTAATCCATTCCGGATTAACCTTCGCTATGAGGAAGCATTGCTAAATGGAACGGAAAAACCCATTGGAATGCATTAAACTTCGTTTGTGGCCAAAACTCACCGTTGAGCGAAGTTCCTCCATAGAACCGCCATTTTTGCGCCCTCGGTAAGCTAGGGCAGGGCGCGAAAATGCTGCACGTGGCCATTTTGGGCGTCCGGTGGCCATTTTGGAACCGCCGATCAGCTGTTGAAAAAAAATCGCAATGCGAAAATCGGTAAGCGAAACACTTACCGACAGTCGGAATGCGATGTTTTGCCACTTAAAACATCGCAATGCGATCGCATTAGCGATCCCAAAAAATGGATCGCTATGTGAATTCGTCGTTAAACAGTGCGCTCGTTATGCGAGGCACCACTGTATTTAAAATCTTAAAATATGATGCTGTTAAGGTGCTACATTCAATATGCCAGCAAGTTTGGAAAACTCAACAGTGGTCAGAGGATTGGAAAAGATCAGTCTACATCCCAGTCCCAAAGAAAGGCAGTGCCAAAGAATGCTCCAACTACCGTACAATTGCACTCATTTCACACGCTAACAAGGGTATGCTCAAAATCCTACATGGTAGGCTTCAGCAGTGTGTGGACCGAGAACTCCCAGAAGTCCAAGCTGGATTCCGAAGGGGCAGAGGAACTAGAGACCAAATTGCTAACATGCGCTGGATTATGGAGAAAGCCAGAGAGTTCCAGAAAAATATCTACTTCTGCTTCATTGACTATGCAAAAGCCTTTGACTATGTGGACCATAGCAAATTATGGCAAGTCCTTAAAGAAATCTGAGTGCATGACCACCTTGTCTATCTCCTGAGAAACCTATATATGGGACATGAAGCAACAGTTAGAACTGGATATGGAACAACTGATTGGTTCAAAATTGGGAAAGGAGTACGACAATGCTGTATATTGTCCCCCGGCTTATTTAACTTATATGCAGAATACATCATACGGAAGGCTGGACTGGTGGAATCGCAAGCCGGAATTAAGATTGCTGGAAGAAATATTAACAACCTCCGATATGCAGATGATACCACTCTGATGGCAGAAAGTGAGGAGGAATTAAAGAACCTTGTAATGAGGGTGAAAGAGGAGAGTGCAAAAAGCGGCCTGAAACTCAACATCAAAAAAACTAAGATCATGGCCACTGGTCCCATCACCTCCTGGGAAATAGAAGGGGAAGATATGGAGGCAGTGACAGATTTTACTTACTTGGGCTCCATGATCACTACAGATGGAGACAGCAGCCACGAAATTAAAAGATGCCTGCTTCTTGGGAGGAAAACAATGACAAACCTTGACAGCATCCTAAAAAGCAGAGACATCACCTTGCCAACAAAAGTCCGCATAGTCAAAGCTATGGTTTTCCCTGTAGTGATGTATGGAAGTGAGAGCTGGACCATAAAGAAAGCTGACCACCGAAGAATTGATGCCTTTGAATTGTTGTGCTGGAGGAGACTCTTGAGAGTCCCCTGGACTGCAAGGAGAACAAACCTATCAATTCTAAAGGAAATCAACCCTGAGTGCTCACTGGAGGACAGATCCTGAAGCTGAGGCTCCAGTACTTTGGCCACCTCATGAGAAGAGAAGACTCCTTGGAAAAGACCTTGATGTTAGGAAAGTGTGATGGCAAGAGGAGAAGGGGACAACAAAGGATGAGATGGCTGGACAGTATCTGCGCAGCAACCAGCATGAAATTGACACAACTACTGGAGGCAGTGGAAGACAGGAGGGCCTGGTGTGCTCTGGTCCATGGGGTCACGAAGAGTCGGACATGACTAAATGACTAAACAACAAAATAATTGTGATGTTAGTCACATGATTAATATTAAGTAGTGTGCTTTAAACATTAAATTTGGGACAGTTATCTTCAGGAGCATAGAATATGAGAAAGGGGGGTATTTCAGCTTTCCCCTCCCAGCTTTAACTTCCTACTCCCTGCAGCAATTAGTGTTAGGAAAATGCCAACAGGTGTGTTCTGTAGTAGTGTGTAGCTGAAGATTACATGAGTGGATCCGCTCTGTCTCCTGAAACCTCTTTCTATATGACTCTGTCTTGCTTACCATTGTGCCTTCTTAACATTAAATGTTATAGCCTTCTTCCCCATGATCTCAGATGCTGACCAGGAATTAATAATCATTGCCTCAAATAGTGTATAGTCTCATGAATAATGGCCTGTTGTCTTTTGCAGATTATTGTATTTACCATACTTTCAACCCAAACACGACTGTATGCTGAATCTAGTAAAGGAGTATTTACAATGGCCCCCCACAGGTTGGTAACTCACAGCCCATGCTGACTTCCATCCATTAGCATGGTGTTCACATGCAAGTCACTAGCACTCACTAAACTGAGCACAATTTGTCTCATTAGAATTATTACACAGCATTTCTTCATCAACTGCTCCCTGAGGTAACCATGCACACTTAATGAATTTAATAGCAGCGGTCACATATCAGTGGAAATGGATTTGTGCCTTTAGAGCCAGTAGTGCATATAAACCACAAGTAGTCATGACATCCTATAATTACTATGATGTTTCTGCAGATAAGCATTCTCAACAGAACATGGCAACAGTAGCATGCTCTGTCAATTGGTTTCCATTTCAGATTCTGTTTGTCTGCCCTTCTCTCTCTCTCTCATTTAAAGTATTTTTATACCCTGCCTTTCAGTAAATGCTTCTAATATAACTAATAGCAATCCATTAAAATTAAGTATATGAGGTCTAACAGCTCATTCTCACTGTAAAGCAAATCACCAGTATCTGACTGTTGATCCTGCATTTATGCTGAAACAGAAAATGTTAACCCTGTAAATAAGCAGACCAGTGTGGTGTAGTGGATTGAGTGATGTGAGTAGGACTCTGGCAAACGGTTCAAATCCCCACTTAGCTAGGAAAACTCACTGGGGGAATGGAACTGAGAAAGCCATTCCTTGCATTTCTCACTTACAGTGGTGCCTCACTAGACGATCGCTTGGCATAACGATGAATTCGCTTTACGATGAGGTTTTTGGAACGATCTTGCGCTTTGTATAACGATGTTTCCTATGGCCGATTTTCGCTTTACGTGTTAGGGACTTTGCCTTGCAAGACGGTTACATTTTAGGTCCCTATTTTTCACTTTACAATGTTTTTGGCAGCTTGGTCTTGCTTCGCTAGATGGGTCTTTTAATGGTCGGTGTTTCGTTAGACGACTGTATTCACTTGGAAGACACGTTTTGCTTAACGATGTTTCCTATGGCGATTTTTGCATAACGATGACAATCCGTTCCCATTAGAATGGAGTATAAGGTTTTCAATGCATTTCAATGGGAAAACGTGTTTTGCAAGATTATATTTTTGCTTAACAGCGATTTTCGCAGAACGAATTAACATTGTCTTGCGAGGCACCACTGTACCTTGAAAACACTATTAAGGTTGTTCTAAGTTGGTTCCAACTTGATTGCACAAAACACACACACAGGTCATTACCATAAATGAGGTTCTCAAGAATGCTTTTCGTACAATGCATGCAAAAAAAAAATGTAAACTACTTATTTTATTTCAGCTTTCTGCATCCTACATTACCTGATTTTTCAAGATGGAGTAAGATTGCATTACATGCTTCATCCTTGGCCATAGTGAGCTATTTTCTTCTTATTTTTGTGGGAAAGAAGTATGCAGATATTCATAACTATCACATCAGACACACCCAGGTACGAGTTAAACATCAAACACCAGACATATTGAAATAATTGTAGAGCTCTGGGACATTAAAGCAAATAAGATCAAATGGAATTTCCTATGATTATGGATGACTATAGACAGGATGTGGTGGCGCTGTGGGTTAAACTGCAGAAGCCTCTGTGCTGCAAGGTCGGAAGACCAGCAGTCGTAAGAGTGAATCCATGCAATGGAGTTTGCTCCCGTCGCTTGTCCCAGCTCCTGCCAACCTAGCAGTTTGAAAGCATGCAAATGCGAGTAGATAAATAGGGACCACCACAGTGGGAAGGTAATGGTGTTCCGTGTCTAGTCACACTGGCCACGTGACCACATAAACTTCCATTAACCTTCAAACGCTGGCTCTACAGCTTGGAAACGGGGATGAGCACCGCCTCCTAGAGTCAGACACAACTGGACAAAATTGTCAAGGGGAACCTTTACCTTTACCTATAGACAGGATACAAATATTTGACCTTTATTTATCTCCAACAATGCTGAGATATATGCTGGAATATAATATAATTTAAAAGCAAAAACAAAAAACAAACAAAACCCAAAACCATTAAACATTACAAAAACGTGGACAGATAGTTTTCAGATGTTGCTATATCTGAAAAACTATCCAAAGTGATAAATATGAACGGTTCTAAAATGGGATGTCACAATTAAAAAGGACTTTTCTTTATTACAATAAAGTAACTGTGCAATTCAGGATAACTCATATTAGGATTCAATGTTTCATTAGAAGGAACAGATATTTCTATGGAAATCTAGGCCTAATTTTTTAAAAAATCAATAGACCCATTGAATTCATGGCATTTATACAATTATTTATTATTTGGCTATTGGTTCAATTGATGTACTCTAGTTATCAGATTTAGGCCCACGTTCTTCATCACAGGAGGATGAGATTCTGGATAAAAGTTTCTTCCCAACCATTTCAAGATAAGAGTCATGTTTATAGAGTTTTCTAGAACTTTCACGAGGAGAGAATATTTTTTTCAGATCTTGTCTTGCCTTCACTGATGTAATTGGACTCCCCTCAAGGCTCTCTTCTTGCATTCCCTTGTTTAGATTAGCATAGTTGAGAAAAGATATAATTCTTCAAAAGTATTTTTATCACAACCATCTGAGTGAGATTAATTTTGATTTATCACATACAGGATTTAATGGCAGTTGGGCTGTGCAACATCTTCAGTTCATTTTTTAAGAGTTTTGTTGTTAGCTGTGCTCTTTCTACAACTGTTATTCAGGAAAAGATGGGTGGAAAAACTCAGGTGAGTTGGCTGATCTTAAAGCCATTTACTGTTTCAAATTTTCATTCACATTTTATTTATTAGGGGCCATCTGAAATACACTCAACGCATTTTTGTTGATTCAGTATCTAAAACAATGCATAGATTGTTTTTTTAGTTAAACAAACAGACTAACAAATACTGTGTTTCCCCAAAAATAAGACAGGGCCTTATATTAATTTTTGCTCCAAAAACACATTAGGGCTTATTTTCAGCAGATTTCTTTTCATGTACAACAATCTACATTTATTTAAATACAGTCATGTTATCTTGTTGTTACTGCACAATGCTGCACAATGGTGGGTGGTGGGGTTTCACTAAATTGGGGCTTATTTTTGGGGTAGGGCTTATATTACGAGCATCCTGAAAAATCATACTAGGGCTTTTTTCAGGTTGGGTCTTATTTTCGGGGAAACAGGGTGAATACATTTGACTCATTGTTTGCACAGTATTTGATTGGTTGTTTGAACAGAAAAAGAGAGCATGTCTTGATAATCATGGGAGAATGGTAGGCAAAATTCAAAAATACAGCAGAACCTTACGTTGTTAGGGAAATGGGCCTAGGAGTCAGAAATGAAGCAGGGAACAGACTCATAGAATTCTGTGAAGTCAACAATTTGTTAATTGTAAATACCTGCTTCAGACAACTAAGCAGATGGTTGTATGCATGGTAGCTTGTCGTCCGGCCAGAGTCTTAATCCACCACTGCCATATGAGTTCCCATGCACCACCTGGATCACAGGCCACCAATGGCATTCATTCAGATATCTTTGGGCAAGATTGTTTGGAGCAGTGGTTCCAAACCTTGGGTCCCCAGATGTTCTTGGACTCAAACTCCCAGAAGCTTTAATCACTAGCTGTTCTGGCCAGGATTTCTGGGAGCTAAAGTTCAAGAACATTTGGGTGCCCAGGGTTTGGAACCACTGCTTTAGAATTTTACACATAATAATCAGCACATTGAACTGACCCAGAAAGAAACTGCTTATCACTATGAAAGTGCTACATTATACTTTTATTGCATAAAACAGCTATTGTAGATCTAAAGCTATCCTTATCAAATTAATAAAATACCTCATTATGTGATGCAAAATAATGCTTCAGTAGAATGTTGTGACTGACAAAATATGAATTTATATGGACTGGTAGATAACTCAGTGGTTTCAGTCTTTGGCTGCAGAGTCAGATGTTCATTGGGACTCCAACACAGAAGCAGAACAAAACAATATCAATCAGTTCCAAAATAACTTTAAGATGCATTTGTTTACATTTATATTCTTATTATTAGCTTGCAGCCCTGATTGGAGTTTCCTTAATGCTTGGAGCCGTGCTAAAATTAGGATACTACTTCCAGTCCCTTCCTAATGTAAGTTAATATCTTAAATAGAATCTCTTAAATTGATGCCATTTATGAAATATCTTTGAGGTACTGTATATCTGTTTAGAAGATAACTCTCTGCAAAGATTGGACATCTTCTCTTTTTTTAACATTGGCATACTCAGTCTAATTAGGAGACAGAGGTGTAATTCTTCCTTCCTTCCTTCCCTCCTTTATTTGAGTTCCACCAGCACCAGTTTATTGAGTGGAACATCTTTTCTCTGTTGTTCTTTTATTTGTTCTTTCATTCTAATTCCATGGGCATCACATAATGCTTCATTTAAGACCTCCTTAAGCTAGACTGTTCATGTAAGAAGAGGTGCAATAAGCTGTTGGACCTCATCAAAACAGTCCCCATGGCTAGATCCCCAGGAAGATCACACACAATTTTGTTGATCTCTGATACCAATTACATTGATATGGCTTAGCAGTTTTCAATTCTCCCAGGAGCAGATCTTTTTTAAAGCTAATGGGACTTAACTTACCACTTAAGACGAAGTGATTCACACTTCAGAACACAAACAGCCCGAAAAACCTACAACAGCCATCAGATCCCACTCATGGAAGCCTTTGAGAATACATTGATTCACATTTACTTTACATGATGGCAAGACAACTTGCAAGCAAGCAAGAGCAGTGACCTGAGTCGCTGGAGGATGAGAGGGTTTAATATAAAATACTATGGGGAGGTGCTTTCTTCCCTAAGGAAGAAATTGAGGAAGTGTTTAATTTTCCAATATTTTAAAATGACTTTCTTCTTAAAACACTTCCTCTTGGTTCATTTCCAACAATCACCCACTCTGGAAATGGACCAAAAGAGAGAAATTCTACCCACACCAAAAAATGTAGAAGCCCCTTGGAAGGAAGCAGAAAGGTGCAGATCGGACTGCTCGGGGGTGGGCTGGTTTGCATCAGCTAATATGTCGCCCAGTCACCATCTTTAGGAATGAATGAGCCCATCCCTACAGCAAACTAAAAGAGGGCTAAATGCCTGTACTGTATAGCTTGTCTCTAAATTCACACGGAACCTGGAAGTCTGAGAGGGGCAGCACATAATACCATTATCCTTGCTAATAAAAAAAGTCCTTGGCCTTGCAAGCCTATTTTCCATTACTGCATGTGGGGAGAAAAAACAACTCAAATATTCCTTGAATCTATATATGAGCTGTACAATCAGGCACTCAGTGTGGACTGTCTTGGCATAACTCTCTAGGAACTTCAGCAGTCATAATTTATGTTATATCAAGTGCAACAGGATTCCAGCATTACATACAAATTTCTTGGCAAAAAAAAGTTTGTTCCTAGTGGTGTATTTTAAGGGCTCAGTTTAACAGGCTATCTAACAGCATTGTGTGGGTGTTGTGCATAACATTATCTAGTACTGGCAAAGTAATTATTATTATTTTTCTAATTTCCACAGGCTGTTTTGGCAGCTGTTGTACTGGTCAACATGTTCCCATTTCTTGAGAAATTTATGGATATCCCTTTCTTGTGGAGGCAAGATAAATACGATTTTGTAAGTGTCACATAATCCACATGAAGTTGGAAAGAGAAATGATACATCACCACAAGAGCAGTGCTAGACTAAACCACTGTAGAACGACCAAAATCTGTCTTGTACTGGACAAAGGAAATAGATTCAGTAACAAGAGAGAGAGCCATTGCCTGATTATCTCCCATCTCTCTCTCTCTCTCTTTTAAAAGAAAATAGCGGCTGAAACTAGGCCCATTGTAATTAGGACCATGTTGATGGTGAAGGGAGAATAACATCTTGTTCCTACACACTTTTTCCTGATGAAAATGACTAATTTAGGCACATTCTATAGGCATAGGCAAATGTTTCATAATGGAACAAGGAACAACTTCCCAACCTGGAAAAAGTAGCTTAAAGGCTTCCTCCAAACCAGAATATAAAGCTGGTATCAAATTTTGGTTTCATTTGTAAGTTTTCAGTTTGCTTTTAAACCATGGATTCTGAGTTTGGATGGCTTGGAAACTGATTTTCAAAACTCTGGGACAGTTTTTCTGAAGTTGGGTATAGAATTAAAGGAAGGTGACCAAGGAACATGTGAGTACACATTGTTTGTTCCCACATTATTGAAACATCATTTATTAGACCAGGATCGTTATATCTCAACTGAACCAATATGAACAGTTGCACACAGAATTTATAATTACTGAAAATATCTAGGTATGGGGATCCCATCCTAAAATTAGGATGTGAATTCTATACAGATTTTTAGAGTTCTTTGTCTTCTTTCCATTAAGTAGCAAATATTACAACTATTTCATCATTTATTACAGGGAATTTGGATCGTGACCTTTCTGGCGGTACTCTGTCTCGGTCTGGATATTGGCTTAGGAATTGCTATGGGATTTGCATTTTTTGTAATAAGTGTCAGGTCACAGAGGTACTGTCTTCTATTGACTGTTGTATTATTGGGCTGCACCTAAAAGTCTGCAAAGAAAGGAAAATATGTTGTTACAGGAGTACATTAGAACAGAGCTAAGAAATATTGTTCACATGGGACAGGAGCCCTGCTAAATAGAATGTGGTAGTTTAAAATGTTGGACTGGTTCTGACATTCTTGGTCTTGTGATGCAAATATTGTAAAAAATAAAATACATATGTAATATATTGTGTAACATCTTGGCTGTTTTAGCTCATGTGTGCCCTCACTCAAAGCATACAACCAGTTCTAAAATTGAACTTTACCAGCCATAACATGCCACATGCCACATGCCACCACAGGATGTCTGTTCAATATGGCAGTGAGATTGCCTCCCCTTACTTGATTGAAACCTCTTTTTCTATTAGTGGAGGAAAAAATAAAAGCAGGACCTTGCTTGCCACTTTTTGTATTGATTCTCCAGGACAGTTGTATGTAACTATTCTACTATTTGAAGCCATTATTCACAACCAGATAGTTGTGTGTTCATCATGATTTCTTTACTTTTCTGTAAATGGATTATTATTCCAGGATAGGTTCTCTCAAGAAAAAATAGCCCAGATAGCCTGAAAATTATGATGTGATTGGCTGTACAGTAGCTAAGATGAAGGAAGATCTGATTTATATCTTGTTTCAGAATGAAGATTTTGACTTTGGGTCAGATTCCGAACACCAATATTTATCGTAGTTTTTCTGATTTCAGTGAGGTAAGTGGTGGTACGGGATGGAGTAACTGCTATTTGCTATGGCCAGTCCCTGTCAGTAGCACACCAATAGCTGACACATCCACTGCAATTAATTCCAGGAATGATTTTTTCCAAAGGCTATTATTGTGAATAATTACCACAACTGTGACTGGCAATGAAGAGCTATCCTTGAAAAAACAGTTGCTGACATCCTGATAAATACACTACATGGTTGCTGTTCTGACAGTAGATAATTAACAGCTACAGTACATACTGCTTGATTTCACCTTGATAGCCTGACATCAGCAATGAAAGCGGTGGTATGAAATGCAAGCTGTTATTACTTGCATTTTATTCCTGCATGCCCTACATCATTTATAAGGTTGAATTTATCTCATACAAGTTGGCTGAATACTTCATTGGCTTGAAGCACCTGCCTGCATTGCATGGGGTCAGGAGTTCAATTCCCCATTGCTCATCCCAGGAAAAATAACAGCACAGTCTTGGGCAAGTTGCCACTAAAAGGAAGGAATGGCAAACCACTTCTGAGTGCTGCATAACAAGAAAACCTTGAGAAGGGTTGGCATAAACTGGAATTGTCTTAATGGCACATAATTATTAGTTTTAGATAATGCTAATATTTTTAGATAATGCTAAGGGACCAATTGCTCTTCTTATTTTTATTAGTTAAAAATTAAAAATACAACAAAGAAAGACAAATCCCAGGACTATAACAATGAAAGCTATAATTAAAACTTATATAACTAACAACATAACAACATACATCAATGTAAACAATACAATATAACACGATGTGTTCTCCCTGCCATCAGGACCATTTGGAAATATAATCAATTTTCTTCCCCGTACAGAGTCCCCTACCCTTTCCAAAACTGCATTAATTCTTGTACTGGTAATCAGCCTTTCCCCTGTACTAATATGTAATCAATGAATTATCCCCAGATATCTATAAAATTATTCCTATTTAACAAATCATTCTTAATGACAAGATTACACATCAACTTGTCATTAATGGTCAAGTTTCAATTTCCTTTATACCATTCATTTAATTGAAAACCACATTTTGCTTTCCAATGCCTTGTTATTATTAATTTTGCCGCTGTCAATAGGTTTGATATTAATTAAAATGAAGTACTACTGTACTTCATTTCCATTGCTTTTTATCAAATATTGATAAAAATTCTATTTTAGGACATGGCTCTACATTTAAATTAATTATTTATTTTAGATGAAATAGAATGTAAACTTTCAAATTTTATTTTTGTTTGTTTGTTTGTTTGTTTGTTTGTTTGTTTGTTTGTTTGTTTGTTTGTTTGTTTGTTTGTTTGTTTGTTTGTTTGTTTGTTTGGGGAGTGTATTTGAGGAGACTGAAACCAGCCCTCATGCAAACTACTGATTTCAGAAGAGAAGTTACATCCCTCTGTGGGTTTGGTTCTCATCCTCAGTTCGTACCCAGGTTTTCCATCAAAATATGAGATATGTTCATGCTTCAAAACCAAACCTTTATTCACATGGGGGGGGTCTGTTCCACCACAACTTCCACAGGTTCATCCTCTTCAAAACAAGGTTGCATCTTAAGATTATAATCAAAGTGAACAGGTAACAATTTTACAAACGGTCTTCTCATAACTTCTATGGTGGGTGAGCTTCCACTGCAGGCGTTGATACATAGAGTTGTGTTGTGGGTCTTACATTTTCTTGCCTGGCTTCCATTGCCACTCTGCTCCACGATCTCTCCTCACGTCTCCTGTCTCTGTCACTCCCCACACTATTTCTTCCTCTTGGCCTTCTGTTCTCTGCCATGGAGATTTAACATCCCACTCTGCTGATACCCTCTTTGGGTTCTCCTTTACCTTGCTTTCCTTTTCTTCCCTATTTCTCTCCAATAAACAGGCTGTCCCCAAGTCTTGTTCATGCTTCTTACTTGATTTCCAGTTGAAGGGAATGTCACTCCTTTCCCTCTCCACAGACCTGTCATATCCCTCAACTCTTTGCCCTTCCCCATCTCTCCCGCCTTCCTCCTTTCTCTCCCTTCAGAACCCTTCTTCTCTCCCCCCCCCCAATTTTTCTCTTCTCCCATCAGGTTGATTCTCCTCTTGTCCTCTCCTTCCATCGTTTCCCAGAGGGCTGTGTCTAATTCCTTTCCCTCTCTTCTTAGCACTGCTGAATCATGTCAATATGAGGATGATTTCCCTCTCACTCCAAGTGGCTTAGCCCTGACAGGGGGGACAGGATCAAGAGGTCATTCTTCTGTGCTGGTAGCTCAGTCATTTACAGTGCCAGCAAAATACTGGTAAAACTTGAACAAAAATCTTGTTATAGATTTCCAGAGTCAGCAATTCATAGTGTTTTACCTACCATTGGATAAAACCTGTCCATCTGTCCATCCATCCTCTTAAAACTAATTCTCAGAATGAATATCACAACTCAAATGTCACAGTCAGCACAGGGGAAGGCAGTTATCAGCAGAAATGAAGAAAGTATATAGCCAGGGGCCTAAGCTGGGAAACCTCAATTAAGTGTTAAGCATTCTGACTAAGCTTGTTCTCTCTCTCTCTCT